CTCTATACTCTTGAAAAGTATTGAGATCATTTAGTCTTTCTTCTGCATTATTCATTCTGCTATTCAGGGCCTCTAGCTCAGCTTTTGTCTCGGCAAATGAATATTCTAACTTTTCTTGACTCCTCCTTATAATTTCTAGTTTCTTTTTGCAGAATTAGCATTCCTTGTCGATAGCCTTTCTCAATTTCTTCAGAGACTGGCACAACACTATAAATCAACTCTGCTCACATGCCAACTTGCTTCAGTCGTGTCCGACTCTTTGCGACCCCGTGGACTGTAGCCTGCCAGGCTCCTCTGTTCATGGAATTCTCCGGGCAAGAATACTGGAGTGAGTTGCCATTCCCTCCTCCAGGGGATCCTCCCAACCCAGGGATTGAACACAGGCCTCCTGAATTGCAGGCCGATTCTTTACCCTCTGGTCTGTCCTCCAGCTCAGCTCATTCACCTTGATTCCTGCCCATAACCCTACAGACTGGAGCATCTCTCCTACAGCAGCTCTGCTCATGACAAAGTCTTGAAGTTTTCTTTTATCTGAAAATGCTTTCATTTCATCTTCAATCTTGAAGAACATTTTCACTGGCAAAGTAACTTGGAGCTCAGGATTTTTTTTCTTTTGGTGTTCTGAAGATGCTGCGACACTGCTTGCTTCTATATGGTTTTTGATGAGAAAGCAGTGACATTGAGAATATTGTTTTCTGTTTGCGGCATGTCCTTTATCTCTGTCCAGCCTCTTTCAAGCTTCCCGTCTTATCTTTGGTTTTTAGCAGTTTGACTCTGATGTGCCTTTTTGTTTATTTTCAATTCCGATTGAAGTTTATGAAGTTTCTTGAACCTGAAGATATATGCCTTTCACAAAAGCTGGAAAGTTCCAGCCATTATTCCTTTGAATATTTTTGCTGCCTCACTCTCTCTCCCTCCTCTCCTTCTGGGACTCCAAGAATACATATCTTAGAGGGTTTTTTTTTTAATATCATCCCCCTGAGTTTCTGCTCATTTTGAAAGTTTTTTCCCCTGTCTGTCCTTCAGATCAGTTAATTTCTATTTATCTGTCTTCAAGGTCACTGACTTTTCTACCATCTCCATCCTTCTATTAAGCCAGTGATTTTTTAAAATTTCATATCCTGCCTCTTTTCGGTTCTATATTTTAAGTTTCTGTTTTTCTGCTTGTGTTCCTGTCTTTTTTCTTTCGAAGGAGCCTAGCTTGCTACCCGACGGACTGTAGCTGTGCATCTCTGTGTGCTGAAGTCCCTGGGCTCTGACTCCACCATCTGGGTCATCTCAGGGGCTGGTCTGTTGTCTTTCTCTAGAGTGTGGTTTGTGTTTTCCTGTATCTTCTTATTTGGAGTAATTGTGGATTATATCCTGGACATTATAAAGTCTGTGGCTTCTGTGATGTTCCTCCAAAAACTATTGATTTTTTTTTTTCAAGTAGGCAGTTAACTTGGTTCTCTCAACCTGTAGACTGTCTTGAGATGAGCAATAGCCCAAATTTAAGTCATCTTTTAGTCCTAGCTGGGTTGCCTGGAGCCTGCCTCCAAACAGCCATTGTTGAGAGGAATGATGTAGAAATATCTGAGACACTCGAGTAGCTTACAGCCTGATTATGAGCCAAGCATTGCACAGCGAGAGAATGATGCACTTGAGCTTGGAGCTCAGGAAGGTGGGTCAGGCTCAATGCTATGGCCCCCACCTCTTATCCTCACATGGCCTGTGCCCACATGCAGATCGATGTGAGCAAAAGCACCCCGTGGTGCAGAAATTAAGAAAAGCATGCTTGCTTTCCCTAAGACCTGCTCCCTTTCCCAAGGCTCCCCTACTTCCCCACTCCCAGCCCTGAGGACCCCCATGCCTAAATCTCTGCCATAATTGATGGGGCAGCTACTTCTGCTTCTCCTGCCCAGGTTATAAACTGCAGAGCAACAGCTGCTTCTATCTCCCTGCCAGCTGGAGAGGAGGTCCCAGAGAGGGGAAGTGATCCTGGAAGCAGGACTGGGGAACTGCTGACCCCCAGGAGCCCCACACGGGCCTGCCTCACTAGTCCCCCTAGTCCCACATGGACCTGCTGTCACCAGCTGAGGCTCCTTCTCGGTCCCCAGTCCCTATGGCTTTCTCCCCTGACCCCAACACATACTACAGCTGCACCACCCAGGTTGGCCCTGGTCAGGTTCTCCTGTGCAAAGGGTCAGATTCACCAAAATGGGGACTACATCCAGGCCCTGGGCCTCTCCAGACTCCAGCTGCAGGAGGGGTCTCTCCGCTTCACCCTCTTGGTCCCCTGCCCTCTTTCCCACCAAGTCTCCAGCCAGCACTTTACCCCCTGTCCATTTAGAGTGACCAGCTGTCCTGGTTCATCCAGAATCTCCCCAGTTTTAAAACTGAAAGCCCTATATCCCAAGAAGGCTTTTAGTCCCATGCAAATTGGCGTCCTGCCTGCCTTGGGGTTTTCTTTCAAGGGCCTCCTCCTTCTCTCCTCCAGAACATCTCCAGGAACGATGGGCTAATCAAGGTACTCCACTAAATCCTGCTCTTAGGAAGGGAGCACAAGCTTAGGACCAGAGTACAACCCAGCTCACACAGACTGCCCAAGGGAACATGCTCCAAAGGAAGACTAGAGGAGGATCCCCAGCCCCCATGGGAGCCTCAGCTGGTGTCTTCCCACCAGATGGGTCATGGACCGGTACTGTTGTTCATGCCTGTGGATGGTTCTCTGGCTTCCCAGGTGCTCCTTGTAACCCTAAGGGTTATATATCAATAAAAGGGCAGATTTCAGGACTTCCCTGGTGCTCCAGTGGTTAAGACACTGAGCTTCCAACCCAGGGAGGCCAGGATTCGATCCTTGGTTGGGGAACTAAGATCTTGCATGCTGCAGGGCCAAAAAATAGAATAAAAATAAACCATCTCCAATATTTACCCCTGAGTCAGACAGCAAGTAGTATCTACTCTAGAGACTTTGTTAAGGTCATGCTGACAATCACTATATTTCCAAGAACTTTCCACTGCACCTGTTCCTTGAGCCTTCCCCAGACACAGTCCCACAGCCTCGCTCAGGCCAAGCCCTCACACTCCCCTTGGAGGGAATGGACCGTTCTCCCACCTGAAGATGGAAAACACAATGTGTCCGATATCCATTTAACTTTCTCTTTTCCTTTGAACATGTTAAGCTGCCCTTTTTTCCCCTCTAAATACTCTGTAATGAAATCCTGGTACTTGTTTTTAGAAAGCAAGCCCACAAATGCTCATGAAATAAATCTCAGGAAGATGAGAGTATAATCCTTCTTATCCTGGAGCTGCAGAAAATCAGACATGATTCTTCTTCACAGAGTTGATCCTGATAAAAGGATGAATTGAGAACATTCAGTGAAGATAAATAATCCTGTTCTCTGTTATACTTCTGTCATCTTTGGGAGTGTAACTTGTATGGAGGAATCTTTTTAAAATATTCAGACTTCAGGGATGATTGCTATAGGAGCAGTGCAATGGCATCTATAAACTTTAAAAGGCGGCACCTCAGGAATTCTCTGGAAATCCAATGGTTAAGATGCCAAGCTTCCACTGCCTGGGGCAGGTTCAATCCTTGATTGGGGGACTAAGATCCTGTCTGCTGTGTAGCACAGCCCCAAAACAAAGAAACAAAAGGCTGCAACTCTGGTCAGCCATTGATAACTTATTCCTCTGAAAACGATATTTAACTTAACTTCTTCAGGAACTTTCCTGACGGTTCAGAGGTTAAGACTTCAGCTTCCAATGCAGGGGGTGCACGTTCAACCCGTGGTCCAGAAGCTAAGGTCCCAGGTACTTTGCAGCCAAAAAACCAAAATGTAAAACAGAAAAGTGAAAGTGGAAGTCACTCAGTCGTGTCCGATTCTTTGTGATCCCATGGACTATACAGTCCATGGAATTCTCCAGGCCAGAACCCCAGAGTGGGTAGCCTTCCCCTTCTCCAGGGGATCGTCACAACTCAAGGATCGAACCCAGGTTTCCCACATTGCAGGCAGATTCTTTACCAGTTGAGTCATAAACAGAAGCAATATTGTAACAAATTCAATAGTCTTTAAAAATGGTCCATAAAATAATAGTAAATTAACTAATTAACCTTTTCCATTTCCAGAAAGCATAAGTACTTGTGAGACTGTGGTTTATTTGTTAGACCAGACAGAAAACCTTTGGGACTCTCTTCTCCTTTCTAGCATAAAGGTAAAATTCCATTACTCCTTGGAAGGAGCTGGAGTAATGGAGCTCCTTGACCTTTTTTTTCCCCAAAGTTTTTAAGAGCTTCGGAGCCTGCAGGTACTTGAATTAACAGGAGGAATCCCTGCGCTGTGACCTACCAGGAGAGACAGGAATCAGCTTTATGGCACGCGATGGGAGTTCAGACAGGGCAGCCCTTTGTCTACAGACACGCCCCCACCCCCCTCCACCTGCCTACAGAAACTTTGGCCTGAAACTGACCCTGTCTTGCGTCAGCCCGAGCCTGCTGGACAAGCAGCATCCGGGGCCTGTGAGCCGGATTCAAGGACTGCCTCAGGGCGGCCCTCAGTCCTGTTTGGTGAGGCGGGAGGTAGGGTGGTCACAAAGTTCAATATCTACAAGAGGCTGGCTGGTTACAGAATGAGCAGGAGGTCAGGGAGGGAGAAGTCTTGCGGATTAAAGGCGAAAGGCTAACTCAGAAGGAGCCATCCTACCGAGTGTGAAACACGCACACGGTAAAAATTAAACAGTGCGAAAAAGACAAGAGTGAGTGCCCCCTCCCACCCCTGATGGCCTCTGGGGCCAAGGCGGTTGTGGAGTTGTTTTTCCTCTGCTTTGGGGTAGGTGAGCTATTCTTGAATCAGACAGCAGGTGGCGCTCAATCCAGAGAATTAGAGAAAAGGGAACTGCGGAGAATTACTCAACTCATTTCCAGTAACTTCTCCCTCCTCCCCCACAGGGCCTTCTCCAGCCCCACTTCCTGTTCCCTGGCCCGGGCCAAGTCCTCTCAGGACTCAGGTGTCGGGTTCCAGATGCCTGGTCTCAGAGTTGTGGGAACTGTTTCTGGGGAAGCCTCACTCCACCCGCTGCCCAGGCAACATGTGAGTGTGCCTGGATGGGCTGGGGAGGCTGAGGAGGTTGGGAGGCTGGAGAGGCTGAGGAGACTGGGGAGGCTGGAGAGGCTGAGGAGGCTGAGGAGATTGGAGGCCGGAGAGGCTGAGAGAAGTTTGGGGACATGGGAAAGGCACCCTGGGGCAGATGTGCGCACACACACACACACACACACAGCCTCCAGCAGCCTTCCCTGGGGTGTGCTGGCTCAAGCTCCAGCCAGGACACTATCATATGTAAATGCCTCTCACTTGTAACCTCCAGGCTCTTCAGACACCAGGGTGGGCCTGGGGTTGGCTGAAGCAGACAGAAAACAGCCCCTGCTTGGATGGGCCTCTCCAGGGAGGTGGGCAGCAGTGGAAAACCCACAGTCCAAGCACAGGCTGACCAGGAGGCTGAAGGAATTGGGGCAGGAGGGGCCATAAGGGTGTGGACAGAGGTGCCCAGACCTCTCAGCTCTTAGCGCCGCCTGCCCCCCTCATGTCTCCGCAGGCCCCAGGCCACAGCCATGCAGCCCCATCTGCGCTGGCCCACTCCCAAGTGGTGGTTCCTCCTCTGGGGAGTCCTCCAGGCTTGCCCCACGCAGGGCTCCGTGGTGCTCCTGGCCCAATGGCTGCCCCAGAAGCTGACATCCCCTGGGTACCCGGAGCCGTACGTCAAAGGCCAGGAGAGCTCCATGGACATCGAGGCTCCAGAGGGCTATGCTGTGAGGCTCCTGTTCCAGGACTTTGACCTGGAGCCATCCCCGGACTGTGAGCAGGACTCCGTCACAGTGAGTTGGGTGGGGTTCTGGAGGGACTCCAAATGGGGAGGGCCCTTGCTGGAGCCCCAGGGCAGCGGGAGGGGGCCAGGCCCTGAAACTCGAGGCTTACCCAGGAGGCCAGGTCTTCCAGCTGAGGCCCCACGCTTACCTGTGCCCCCTGCCATCTGGGCCCCACCAACAAGAGAGAAGGCCACAGGTCAGGAAGCCTCACCAAGGGACACACAAACACTGCAAATCCCTAGAGTCAGAAGCAAGAACTCACACATCAGTCATTAAAAATGCAGCATCAAGCATGTTGTATGCCTGCACTGTTGGGCTCAGGAGCTGGATGTTCAGTTCAGTTCAATCGCTTAGTCGCGTCAGACTCTGCGATCCCATGGACTGCAGCACACCAGACTTCCCTGTCCATCACCAACTGCCGCAGCTTGCTGAAACTCATATCCATTGAGTCAGTGATCCCATCCAACCATCTCATCCTCTGTTGTCCCCTTCTCCTTCTGCCTTCAATCTTTCCCAGTATCAGCATCTTATCCAATGAGTCAGTTCTTCGCATCAGATGGCCAAAGTATTGGAGCTTCATCATCAGTCCTTCCAATGAATATTCAGGATTGATTTCATTTAGGATTGACTGGTTTGATCTCCTTTCAGTCCAAGGGACTCTCAAGAGTCTTCTCCAACATCACAGTTCAAAAGCACCAATTCTTCGGTGCTCAGCCTTTCTTTACAGTCCAACTCTCACATCCATACATGACTACTGGAAAAAAATCATAGCTTTGACTAGACAGATCCTTGTTGGCAAGGTAATGTCTCAGCTTTTTAATATGCTGTCTAGGTTTGTCATTGTTTTTCTTCCAAGGAGCAAGTGTCTTTTAATTTCATGGCTGCAGTCACCATCTGCAGTGATTTTGGAGCCAAAGAACATAAAATCTGCCACTGTTTCCTTTGTTTCCCCATCTATTTGCCATGAAGTGGTGGGACTGGATGCCATGATCTTAGTTTTTTGAATGTTGAGTTTTAAGCCAAATTTTTCACTCTCCTCTTTCACTTTCATCAAGAGGTTCTTTAGTTCCTCTTCACTTTCTGCCATAAGGGTGGTGTCATCTGCATATGTGAGGTTATTGATATTTCTCCTGGCAATCTTGACTCCAGCTTGTGCTTCATCCAGCCCGGCATTTCACATGATGTAGAAGTTAAATAAGCAGGGTGACAATATACAGCTTTGACTTACTCCTTTCCCTGTTTGGAACCAGTCCATTGTTCCATGTCCAGAACTGTTGCTTCTTGACCTGCATATAGGTTTCTCGGAAGGCAGGTAGGGTGCTCTGGTACTCCCATTGCTTTAAGAATGTTCCACAGTTTGTTGTGATCCACAGAGTCAAAGACTTTGGTGTAGTCAATAAAGCAGAAGTAGATGGTTTTCTGGAATTCTCGTACTTTTTCTATGATCCAACAGATGTTGGCAATTTGATCTCTGGTTTCTCTGCCTTTTCTAACTCCACCTTGAACATCTGGGAAGTTCTCAGTTCACATACTGTTGAAGCCTAGCTTGGAGAATTTTGAGCACTACTTTGCTAATGTGTGAAATGAGTGCAACTGTGCAGTAGCTTGAACATTCTTTGGCATTGCCTTTCTTTAGGATTGGAATGAAAACTGACCTTTTCCAGTCCTGTGGCCACTGCTGAGTTTTCCAAATTTGCTAGCATATTGAGTGCAGCACTTTCACTTTCTTTTAAGATTTGTAAGAGCTCAACTGGAATTCCATCACCTCCTCTAGCTTTGTTTGTAGTGATGCTTCCTAAGGCCCACTTGACTTCACATTCCAGGATGTCTGGCTCTAGGTGAGTGATCACACCATCATGGTTATCTGGGTCATGAAGATCTTTTTTGTATAGTTCTTCTGTGCATTCTTTCCACCTCATCTTAATATCTTCTGCTTCGTTAGGTCCATACCGTTTCTGTCCTTGATTGTACCCATCTTTGCATGAAATGTTCCCTTGGTATCTCTGATTTTCTTGAGGAGATCTCTAGTGTTTCCCATTCTATTGTTTTTTTCTATTTCTTTGCATTCTTCATTTAGGAAGGCTTTCTTATCTCTCCTTGCTATTCTTTGAAACTCTGCACTCAGATGGGTATATCTTTCCTTTTCTCCTTTGCCTTTCACTTCTCTTCTTTTCTCAGCTATTTGTAAGGCCTCCTCAGACAACCATTTTGCCTTTTTGCATTTCTTTTTCTTGGGAATGATTTTGATCACAGCCTCTGGTACAATGTTATGAACTTCCATCTATAACATTGTACAATCCATTTATTATAAGTTTCCATTTCAATTCCTGAAATAAGGTGGGCTGTATAATGTAACTATGGCGGGCTAAAGAAATCAGCTAGGTATCTGGTCATGGATTGAAGAAACTTGGGAACCAGGAATAGAACAGGAACTGACTTAAGGAAGTTTCAAGGAGGTAGTACAGCTTCCAAACCCCAACAATGTGCAGAACCTTCAAGACGGGGCTGGGGTCCACACTGACATGACCCTGTGACCACGAGTGGTCAGGATCACCCCATACCTGCCTACCCCCTCCACTTGCAGATCACAGCCAGTGGGATGGATCTCGGCCAGTTCTGTGGGCAGCAGGGCTCCCTGCTGGGCAGGCCCCCTGGTCAGAGGGAGTTTGTGTCCTCAGGGAACAGTTTGCGGCTGACCTTCAGTGCCCCAGCCTCTGAAGACAAGACCCCAGGCCTCCACAAGGGCTTCCTGGCCCTCTACCAAGCCATAGGTGAGGGTGCCCCCAGGGTGCAGGGAGGGAAGTCCCTGCCCACAGCCCTGGCCCTGGTATCTTTTTTTTTTTTGGCTGTGCTGGTTCTTCACTGATGCATGCCAGCTTTCTCTAGTTGCAGTGAGGGGGGCTACTCTCTAGTTGCGGTGCTCGGGCTTCTTGCTTCAGTGGCTTCTCTTATAGTGGAACATGGGCTCAATAATTGTGGTGCACAGGCTTAGTTGCTCTGTGGTATGTGGGATCTTCCTCGACCAGGGATCAAACTCATATCGCTTGCATTGTAAGGCAGAGTCTTAACCACTGAACACTAGGGAAGCCCTCCCTCGTATCTTGAAGTGACCAGTGGAAGCTGAGACTGGGCGTTTGGGATACCGGGGCTTAGCCCCTTGATGCCCAGCCTGCCCTCTGGTGAGCAGCCTGGTACCTGAGCACCAGCTCAGCTCCATTGTTTCCCTGCAGATTGACAGCCCCAGTGCTGGCAGATCATCTCATATTTTAACCGAAACTGAAAATTCAGAGTTTTAAGTGAAATTCTAGATTTACAAATGGTAACCCCAGGCTTTTTGAAAGATAAGGCATGCCCATGAGTAAAATTTTCAGTAAAAATAATCTTCCTCTGATCTCTGGCCCTTAGTCCCTGGCTCCCTTGCCCAAAAGTGACCCTGTTCTGTTTCCTGGGTATTCTTCCAAAGGCATTCTAGGCCGCTCAAATACAAATACTGTGGTGTGTGTGTGTGTTGCATACTAGTCACAATGTTTTAAATTTGCCCTTTTTCATTCAGTTAAATATATATATATATTGGCCACAACTTGTAGCTTGCGGGATCTTAGCTCCCTGACCGGAAATCAAACTCAGGCTCTGGCAGTGGAATTGCTGAGTCCAAACCACTGCACCACCAGGGTTTTGGTAATTAGTGTTGCCTAATTCTTTTAAAGACCATACAATATTCCTTTATTGATGCATCATAGTATATTTAATCAGTCTTTCAGTGATATATAGGTAGATCCTACAAACAGTACTGCTCTGAATATCTTTGTATATACATCATTGAGCACATGCATGAAGATAAATTCTTAGAAATAAAAAATTGAAAAATGTGTGCAATTTTAACTTTGATATTGCTAAATCTCCCTATAAAAGTTTTACTAATTTACACTCCCACTAACCACATATGAAAAATGTCTGTTTCCCCTTCCCTAATTTCACAGTTATTTTCAAACTTTTTTAGCATTAACGATCTGATTGGTGAAAAAACAATTCAAACAATTCAAATGTTTAAAAAAAAGAAGAAAAGACTGTGCTGGGAATTCCCTGCGGTCCAGTGGTTAGGACTTGGTGCTTTCACTGTCAAGGACCTGGGTTTAATCCCTGGTTGGGGAACTAAGATCTTCCAAGCTATGATGCAATGCCAAATAAATAAAAAAATAAAAATTTCCAAAAGACTGTGCAGGTCAAACTAAATATGGTGACAGACCAGATTCAATACCTGGGTTGCCAGTTTGCAATTCTGTTCTCCGTACTAGTGACCACTGTTTTCCTATAGCTGTGAATTATACTCAGCCCATCAACCAGGCCACTGGGGTCCCGAAGGCCATTCACATACCTGGAGACAACCCCAGTGAGATCCAGAGCTGCTGCCAGGAGCCCTATTACGAGGCCGAGCCCTCAGGTGAGTCCCCATCTGCTGAGGATTCAGTTCCTACCTGTCTTACTCCCCTCCCACCCCCAAGGGACCTGAGGCCTCTTTGAGCCCCTACCTCCCAGATCTGAGCCTATTCTCTGCCTCCCTCGTTTCACTCCTCAGGGACACTCACCTGCACTGTCCAGGTGCCCTGGAAGCAGACCCAGGAAAGGGAGGAGGCTCCCCGCTGTGTGCCTGGTGAGTGGGCACCTGTGGTGCCATGAAGATGGCCGCTTCCCAGAAGGGCCTCAGCTGCGTTTGGGCCTGTGGGTGCCGGGCGGCCTTAGAATAGAAAGGGGGAAGAAAAGGCAGAAAGTGAGGAAAGAAAGGGGAACCAAGAAGGCCCAGAAAAGGAGGAGCAAGGAACTCACCCCTTCTTCTTGAGGGTCAAGGGATAACCCAGAAAGGAAAAGCCAGAAGGGAGTTAACCAGATGGAAAATGAAGGAAGAAGAGAAACAGATGGGTTGAAAGAAGGGAAAACCCTCTCTTGACATGGTCTGCTTTAAGGATACACAGATAGGCTCTCTTCCCCCAAATATCTCCCTACCTTGATGCTATAGTGCCTGAAAGCCTAGCATTGTTTTAAAGAGTTTTTTATGTGTGTAATGTGAAGTTCATATAACATAAAAATCACTGAAGTGCACAATTCAGTCATGTTTAGCAAGTTCACAATGTTGTGCAACCATTAGCACTTATTCTAGAACATTTCCCTCATCCCCAAAAGAGACGCCAACTCTACCTTCTCCCAGTCCTCTGGCAACCACTAACCACTTTCTATCTCTATGAACTTGCCTGTTCTGGACACGGCATCTCAAGGGGATCATGTAAGAGCTTTTGCGCCTGGTTTCTTTCATCCCGTGTAATCTCTTCCAGGTTCACCCACGCCGTAGCGTGCGTCAGTACTCCACTCCTTCTTATGGCTGAATAGAATTCCAGCATGCAGATAAACCACTTTGTTTATCCATTCAGTGATTGGTTGACATTTGGGTCATTTACACTTTTTTGCCTTTTATGGGTATTACTACAGTGAGAACACCTTCATTTCTCCTGTGTATAGACTAAGGAGTGGAATTGCTGGCTCACATACTAACTCTGTGTTTAACTTTCTGAGGAATCGCCACACCGTTTTCCACAGCAGTTGAACGATTTTACATTCCTACCAGCAATAGATGATGGTTCAGATCTAGCATTGTTGGCTGGTTGTCTGTTTTGTTTTGAATTTTTTGACTGAGTCATTCAGCTTGTGGGATCTTAGTTCAGTGACCAGGGACTGAATGGAATTACAATGGCAGTGGAAGCACAGAGTCCTAACCACTGGACCACCAGGGAATTTCCTCAGATCCACCATTTTTGAAACTCAGTTTTTGAGCCAAACATTGCCTTTCTAACCCAGTCTTAGTACCTTTGTCAGGTTTTACTCCAGAGCCACAGAAAGCTCTAGGGGCAACCTGACCTCATGCTCTGGGAGGGAGAGATGTCAAAAATACAGAAATGACACACAAACAGACAGGAGACACCGCAGACAAATGCTGCTTGCTGCACGATATTGTTCAAAGAAGGTGGCAGGGAATCTAAAAAAGTGGCTTAGGAAAAAAGTGGTGCAACTGGTTAAGAATCTGCATTTCCACTACAGAGAGCACAAGTTCGATCCCTGGTCAGGGAACCAAGATCCTACAAGCCTGCATGGTGCAGCCAAATAAGTAAATAAATAAAGATGAAAATCAAAAAGCAGCTTTAAAAATGGCCGAGGAGGAAGAGGAGGTTGCAGAAGCAGGTTTTCAATAAGCGTCTCTTGATACAGCGCTGACTTTACCCCTCCTCTCTCTCAGCATGTGGACGGCCGGTGGTCCCCATCTCCCAGACCCAGGAGTCCCTTGGCGCCTCCAGAGCTGAGCTGGGCAGCTTCCCCTGGCAGGCCCTCACCAGCATCTATGGCAGGGGCGGCGGGGCCCTGCTGGGCGACCGCTGGGTTCTCACCGCTGCCCACACCATCCACCCCAAGGACAGCATCTTGCTCGGGAAGAACCGGAGGGCCCAGGTGTTCCTGGGCCACACGGACACAGACCAGATACTGGAGCTGGGCGGCCACCCCGTGCGCCGCGTGGTCGTGCACCCAGATTACCGTCAGGACGAGCCCCACGACTTCCACGGAGACATCGCGCTCCTGGAGCTGGAGCGCAGCGTCCCCTTGGGCCCCCACCTCCTCCCAGTCTGCCTGCCGGACCGCGAGGCCTTGTACCGGCCCGGCCGGTGGGGCTACGTCAGCGGCTTCGGCGTGGAGATGGGCTCGCTGAGCACCAAGCTCAAGTACTCGCGGCTACCCGTGGCCCCGAGGGCGGCCTGCGAGGCCTGGCTCCGGGAGAAGCAGAGGCCCGAGGCGTTCACCAACGGCATGTTCTGCGCCGGGGACCAGACACGGCCGCAGAGTGTCTGCCAGGGGGACAGCGGTGGCGCCTTCGTGGTGTGGGACGATCGCGCCCGGCGCTGGGTGGCCACAGGCATCGTGTCCTGGGGCGTCGGGTGTGGCAAGGGGTACGGCTTCTACACCAAAGTGCTTGACTACGTGGACTGGATCCGGGGAGTGATGGGCGGGAAGGACTGACCCCGAGGGCCCGGGCTGGGCGCCCACAGTGGAGCCCAGACGGGAGAGCGCTGGATTCAGGACTGAGCCCTGGGTGTGGGCGGGTGGAGGAGGGAGACCTAACTAGGCCACAGAGCCAGAGAAATCCTCTCCTTCCACAGCCACGCCTCCTCACCCTCCACCTTCCTAGGGGGCTTCTGCCACACCCGGGAAGCCCCATTCATCTCTGCTCTGAACTTCATCTCCTGCGGACCCAGCTTCTTCTGTACTCTCTTAGGAGACAGTCACCTTCTCATCCCCCTGTTCAAGTGCTGTGAAGGAGTAGTCTCAGTTCGTTTCGTTTATGGAACATTCTGAAGCCCCTGTAGTCCACCTTCAAATACTCAAACTCGGCTTCACCAAGCACAACCCATGGCTGCATTTGGAATTGTAGCTCTTTTTGTTGTTTTAAATCAGAAAAAAAAAAAAAAACCAACCAGGCGCTTCCTGTGTTACTTCATTAACTCCTCACACCAACTTTGCAAAGGTTGAGTTGTTATCCTCTGTTTTACCAAGAAGGAAACTGAAGCTCAGGGAGATAAGGGACTTTTGCAAACCCCACAGCTGATACAGGACAGTGAAGACATGTGCTTTTCAGCACACCTCAACACCTCTAGGTGTCCTGAAGACCCGCTGTTTCGCCCACTCCCCAGTCCCCACATCCCTTCAGGCACTCTTTTGGTGAAGATCACAACAGGTGCTCACAGCTTCCTGCTGGCCCCGCTACTGCAGACTCCTCCATGAGCCCAGCCCTGGGTGGATGTTCCTGTAGGCGTTCCCAGCACTGCTGGAATCCTCAGGCTCTGTCTGCACCATCAAGCACTGCTCCACCTGAAAAGACCAATTCTTTCATTTTAATAAGGACTTGAGCTGATGCTTTTTTTTTTTCATCGTAAAGAGATGGGAATGCCAGACCACCTGACCTGCCTCCTGAGTAATCTGTATGCAGGTCAGGAAGCAACAGCTAGAACTAGACATGGAACAACAGACTGGTTCCAAATAGGAAAAAGAGTACATCAAGGCTGTATATTGTCACCCTGCTTATTTATCTTATATGCAGAATAAATCATGAGAAATGCTGGACTGGATGAAGCACAAACTGGAATCAAGATTGCCAGGAGAAATGTCAATAACCTCAGATATGCAGATGATACCACCCTTATGGCAGAAAGCAAAGAAGAACTAAAGAGCCTCTTAATGAAAGTGAAAAGGAGAGTGAAAAAGTTGGCTTAAAGCTCAACATTCAGAAAACTAAAATCATGGCATCTGGTCCCATCACTTCATGGCAAATAGATGGGGAAACAATGGAAACAGTGACTGACTTTATTTTGGGGGGCTTCAAAATCACTGCAGATGCTGACTGCAGCCATGAAATTAAGAGATGCTTGCTCCTTGGAAGAAAAGTTATGATCAACCTAGACAGCATATTAAAAAGCAGAGACATTACTTTGCCAACAAAGGCCCATCTAGTTTAAGCTATGGTTTTTCCAGTAGTACTGTATGGATGTGAAAGTTGGACTATAAAGAAAGCTAAGTGCCAAAGAATTGATGCTTTTGAACTGTGGTGTTGGAGAAGACTCTTGAGAGTCCCTTCAATGCAAGGAGATCCAACCAGTCCATCCTAAAGGGAATCAATCTTGAATATTCATGGGAAGGACTGATGCTGAAACTCCCAAGATTTTGACCACCTGATGCGAAGAACTGACTCATGGGAAAATACCCGGATGCTGGGAAAGATTGAAGGTGGGAAGAGAAGGGGACAACAGAGGATGAGATGGTTGGATGGCATCACCAACTCAATGGACGTGAGTTTGACTAAACTCCAGGAGTTGGTGATGGACAGCGAGGCCTGGAGTGCTGCAGTCCATAGGGTTGCAAAGAGTCGGACACGACCGAGTGACTGAACTGAACTGAACTGAACTGAACTGAGCTGATGCACTGTAAAAGAAGCAAATAAAATGCAGTTTTTCAGATGGAAACAGAAATGAATACTGTAAAACAGAAGAGAGCAAATTTGCTATATGGTTAAAGGTTGAATTTATCTTTGAAAAATAGCAGAATTCAAAGTTATACATACATGTGGTAAGTTCCATTTTTAAACCTATAGATAGTATAAAATATTCAAAATATTAAACTGAGTTACTTTTAATGATTGTGGCAGTTTTGTTTTCCCTTATTCTCCACTATTTGCTAAATTTATTTATTTAAAGAGGATATTTTAGTTTTAATTACCATATTTATTTTTATTATTGAAAACATGATATGAGTTTCTCTCCTACCAAGGCAATGTCTAGAATATGTAGGGATATATCTTTTTCCTTGGTAGGGAGAAACTCATACCACATTTTCAATGATAAAAACAAGTAAGATAAATAAAAGTAACATGTACTCATTAAATAAAATTTAGCAAATAGTGAAGTCTATACATCTGTATATCTAGACATATCTATATCTAGACATATGTATATATAGACATGTATATCTAGATATGTATATCTAGACATATCTAGATATAGAGAGAGGTAGATACAGATATAGGTGCAGTTATATAGGTATATAGATATAAATATATCCACAGAGGGATAACTTCCATTAACTTAAGAGAGAAACTTTTTTCTCCCCATAATCAAATCTTAAAAGGCATGATCAATATAACAATGTCTTCAGTACTGGTTTCAAAACAAGTGCCTGAGAAATCTTCATTCTTTCTGCCCAGGGTGTAAGTCAAGGGTATAACACAGTGTATGAAGGAAATGAATGTTAGTTATTCAGTCCTGTCTGACTCTTTGCCACACTATGAACTGCAGCCTGCCAGGCTCCTCTGTCCATGGAATTCTCCAGGCAAGGATGTTGGAGTGGGTTACCATTTCCTTCTCCAGGTCGGGATCTTCCCGACCCTGGAATAGAACCCTGGTCTCCTGCACTGTGGATAGATTCTTTACAATTTGATCCACCAGGGAAGCCCAACACTGCATATAAGTCAAGGTTGTTGTGTGTGGTTGGGCAGAATGGGGGTCAGGCTGGGGCTGAGCTAATGAGGTCCAGTCATGCTACATGCTATCAGGACAGAACTCAGAATCCCCAGGACAGATAGGAGAGCTCCTGCCAAGACTTACCTTCTTGGATCACCTCGTCTACCTGTACATCTTCCATCCTACCATCATGGTAAACACAAAACACATACACACACACAAACATACACACACTGCCAATTTGCTAGACTAGATGTGCCTTCTTTCTTTTTTAAGATCTTTTTTTATTTAGACCATTTTTTAAAACCATTTTTAAAGTCTATTGAATTTATTACAATATTGCTTCTGTTTTATATTTTGATTTTTTTTTTTTTTGACCAAAAGGCATGTGAGAGCCTAGCTCCACAAACAGGGATCGAACCCTCGCCCCTTGCATTGGAAGGTGAAGTCTTAACCACTGGACCCCAGGGAAGTCCCAAGATGCCCCTTCTTTCTTGCATCCTGACCTGGCCCTCACCCTCTCCCCTATCTTTGGTCCTTCCTCACCTGACAGAGCATAGATCATGTCGTGGGTCATGTCATGGATCAGCCCTGCCAGCAGATCCACTCCTTGGCTCTGACATACGAGCCTGCTGGAGAAACCCTCCGACCTGTATCCACCTGGCCTCTTCCGTGTGCCTGCTCTCAGACTACATTCAGTGATGACCTGCTCACTGCCTCATAGGGAGCTGCCCCAGAGCCTGGGAAAGCACCTGACACATTAAATAGGTAGCTTCCAAATGGATAAGTGAGCGGGCAGGTAGAGAGATGGAGGGACTCATCTAATAGGGGAAACAAGCAGGGTAGATGACAGAGGCCTGAGAACTCAGAGGCCATTCTGGATATGAGCCTCCCCGGGGAACACATTGTCATGGTGTCTCTGAGCCCTGGAAAGAAGGCTTCCCTAAAGAGCAGACATTTAATACAGAACACAATGGCCTGGAGGATGGAAGAGACAAGAGCCCTCTCTCCTCCCAGGGACCTGGCTTCTGCTCAGAAAAGATCAAGTCACTGGTGGTCCACAGCCAGCCTGTTTGCCCAGCCCCTGGCACCATGACCCTCAGGGGCTTACACTCTGGACCAGATGCTGAGGATAAGAGGATATCTCCAACTCATCCTCAACTGCCCTTGTTCCTCTAAGGGACAACTTCATTGGCAGGCCTGAGTCCATTGAGGGGAGAGGAAGGGTTTTTTTTTTATTTTTTCCTGGGATCTTAGTTCCCTAACCAGGGATCAAACCCATGTCCCCTACATTGGAAGCTGGGAGTCCTAATCCCTGGACCACCAGGGAAGTCCTGGGAGGGTCTTGAAACAGACCCTAGTAGTGCTTTGTGGTTGCAGCAGCCCCTGCTGTACGTGTCATTTTTGTAAATTTCTTCATTAGCTGCACCACATGGCATGTGGGATCCTAGTTCCCTGGCCAGAGATCGAACCTACACACCCTGCATGGGATACATGGTGTTTCAACCACTGGGCCTTCAGGTAAGTTCCCTCAACGTGTCATTGCTGAGGAAATCAGGGCAGGGCCCCAGGGCAACCAAGCTTGTCTCTCCTCTGCGGCCTCCTGCACTTCTCCTGTCTAATCCTTGCTCCTGTTCCATTATTCCGGGCATTGAACCCTGGTTGTTCCTGGACCAGAGCTGCTGACTGACTAAGGACAGGGAGAACAGGGTTAACAGAGAAGAGAGGGCCAGGAAACAACCCCCCTCAACTGCGATTTCCACTGCCCTTTGGGTAGGAACCCTGAACACACAGCTGCAGTCCCCAGGAAGGGCCCTGAGGAAGGGGGGATTCCCATCAGATTTGGAAAGGGACATCTGGGTCTCCAACCCAAGGCTTTTCTGTCCCTAAAAGCCCATCTCTAGCGCTTCTCAGGCTACCAGGGTGGCTCAGAGGGTAAAGAATCCGCATGCAATGCAGGAGACCGGGAGTTCCCGGGTTTGGGAAGATCCCCTGGAGGAGGGCATGGCA